TACAAAACATCAAACACTCACAAAGTCCCTTTTTAGAGCTGTCTGTTGGCACAGCGACACTGTGATAATGAAAACACACGTTTCCTGAATGTTAATCGCACCGGACTAATCAAATTGCAGCATAAACAAATCACATTTGCATACGAGAATAAAACCACCTAAAATAGGGGGCCTGTTTGGTGGAGCAGAATTTCCTCCGGATATGAGAACACAGGGCTCTTACGTTCAGGAATATGGTCTTATCGTGGTAAGAGAAGGAGTGAGGAAAGGGCACTCAAACAGAAACCAAACTTTTCAGCATCCTAATTCATGAAGAGGTCTCTTGATGTAACGTTTCATTTTCATTTGCTGAGGAAAAAAAAAATCTTAATTTGCAATATACAATATCAAACTTTAGTTACCTATAAAATTACTATAAAACACATTCATGCACTTATACTTTAAGATATTGAATCAATCACATCATACTAGAAAAGTACATATAATAAGTAATAAGTGTTTTCTCTCACAAAAGAAAACTAATCTATTTCTCCTTTCCAACTAGTCTTTAGCAAAGCAAAGATTTTCAGTGAAATTACAGATGAACAAGAACCATGTTTCATGGTTATGCGCACCTTGGAAAAGAATAATAAAATTAATTTCAATGTTTAAAGATAAATGCTGTATTTAATTTTGATTTTAAAAACAAGTGGTTTTGGCAAACTCCATTGTACAATCTGTACAAAACCAAAAAAGCAGAAACGTTCATGCTTTCAGTTCAGACTCTTTTTAAACCGAAAATGCAGCTGTAATGACTTGCAGACTTGCTTCCCCATGCAACTGTTCTGAATATGACTCTTTATATATAGTATTGTAGTTTTCCCCCCCAATTCCCACACATTTTAATTTTATAACTATAGTTACCATGCTTACAATCAGATAAAAAGATGAGTGGAAGAAATTCTTATTGCAGTTTTAAACAGGCCCTCTTGAATATTAAATTATATAATACATTTATATGATGTTGTGTTTAACAGATACCTGCACAATAACCTAATGCCTAAAAGGCTGATTAAGATCCTACTGGCCAAATCATATTGGACCCCACTCTGCACAGTATGTTAAGCACTTTAAAATGCGATGTTTTTCAATGCATTTGGGAGTTTTACATACAGTCAGAGTAATAAAAGTAGCAGAAATAATCTACAAAAATTATTTTAAGTGGATTGTACAGGGATGCAGTTTGCAGTACCATAAATTCTGATGGGATTTGAAAATGTATTTCAGGATATTCATATCTGAAAACAAAAGTCTGAAAAATGGCAAACAAACCTAGTTGTGCACTCTTCACAAAGACAAACACCACGGAATAACAGTCACCCAAACTCATCAACCCCTGCTGGTTCTGATGCAGCAGGGGACTTGATACGCAAAAGAGAATCTCTCCATAGACAGAAAAAACAAATTGGAGGCATTTCTTCTTTGATTGCGTCGAAAATGCTGAAGTGATTTCCCTCAGATGCACATCTCACAGTGCAATGGCTTTAAGGGAGTGCTTTATTTGCTGTTGCAAGTCATTTGTTTGTATTATTTTCTCTCAGCTTTTATACTTTAACCAAGGTAAAAAAACACTTTGAATTAATAAAAAATGTATACAAAACTGGATGAACAAAAACAAATTTAGTTACCAAGAAAACAAAAAAGTCGTACGTGATCTGTAACCATATGATCACAATAGATTAAGGTTTTGCTGTACAACCAAATAAAGACATAATATCAAAGCAAAAAAACACATTATGAACACTGTTCTCTCTATTGTGTTTACTTTGTCTTGATCTAATACAAAAATAACCTGTTAAGCGTTTAGGTCCTGAAAGTGCATACTTGAAGACGGAATGCAGGAAACAAAATGTATCATGAAAACATTTCCAAGGTGTTCTGTGCATAGTGGCTTATAAAGTAAGTTGCTCAAATTAGATCTAGCTAAAATAAACCTAGCAGCTGAACCTATACAATCTTAAAATAGATTTGATCTGGACACTTAAGACTCTATTGTCAACATTTTCCATTAAAATGGTAAGAAGTCTTATTCTAAAATTTCAAGTATTTGTTTACAGAACAATTGCTCATAAAATGTTTGTGCTTAAACTATAACAATATAAAGCAGAAAGCTGTAAAGCTGTAAGACTACACTGCATCCCTAAAAGGTCATGTATAATTGCTTTCTTGTATTTTGTGATGTAGGACACGTATGCATGAGGCCTCTGAATACGATCACACATGTAACGCAAATTACTGAAATGTTCTTCAAGCGGTGTAAGTTCCCCATAAAGGGAAAAGGAATCAGGGACACTGGATGGTCCCACACCCAGGCATCCTGAGTTTCAACTTGTGACAATGCTGAAGTGTACAATCAATAGGGAGGAAAAAAAAATCCACAATTTTTACCAAAAGGACACATGTATATTTAAATTTGAAAAAAAAACCCTACAGTTTTCCTCAACATTTTAATAGTCAGAAGCTATCCCTCAGCAAACGTAGATATTGGGAGTGAAATTTCAAGTTTATCTACAAATTCTTTATAGAACAATTTTGAAGGACTAATGAAAAAAATGTTACTAGACACGTTACTTGAAATAAATGAACAAGACAGACCATGTACCGTATACGTACATGGTAGACTGTGTACATTTTCCATAATAAGCACACTTACAAGTCTTGTTATATCATTATTTGATTTGAATCTTTGAACCTGCTGTAGAGTGTCTTTACTTGTAGACACTGTACATGTTCTATAAATGGAATGGCTGGCTCACCAAAAATCCCACTAATGTAGGAATGCTGTACCAGAACACCCTGCACACAATTACATTTCATCATTACTGGATGGTTTATTGAGTTTAATAAAAGCATTAAGCATCTGACAAAGCAAAAGATGTTTTATCTTTCTCCTTTTTTCCAAATATACAAATCAAGAATTGTTTGTGGAATTCACTGGTTCATTAAACAAGCCTTAATTGGGGGTATATAATCTTTTAGTCCTTTTTGTGGTGCTGACAAACTCTTAAAAGTTCAAATAGTGAAGATAAAGCCAAAACCATCAATTTAACAGTGTACTTTGTTGTTAAATAAAGGCAAATTCAAAGTCACAAGGATACAATGGATAAGTTCTTTTCAACTTGCAAGTACTTAGTTTAAAGCACTTACCAAGACAGAAATGGAAAGCATTATATGGATTGCCAATTTTCTTTTAATAAAGGATTTGTTTTTGTTCACTAACCCCCTTGACAAGATGTGGCAGCTATTGTCCTCGTTTCCACTAAGGACCCCTCACACCTAAGTTCCCATTTTTAAAAATAAAATTAAAAGCTATTGAAAAAAGAAATGGCTTCCACCTTGAACAATTCAGCTACTTAAAGCAATAATGAGTTCTGTTTTATGTCCTTTGGAGTATTCTTTCCCCTGTAACTTAAATTCCCTTTAATTTAAGTTCAATTTCAAGTGCTGAAATACCGACTTGAAATATTAGAAAAGACTGGCTGACAAATGGAAAGATGGAAATTAGTATTAAGTGTTTTTTTTCCAACCCCTAAGAATAGGTAGGAAACACATTAAAAAATAAATGTTACAAAAGTCACTAAAAAAGAAAGAAAAAAGCCTAGTGTTCCACAGAATTTAAAAAAGGCAGCAGGGCATCTTATTAAGCAGGATCCTGCAGTATAATCCCACCCTCTGGGATCTCAGTACAACCCCAGGGAAATGTCACCATTCACCAACACACGGCACAAATACAGATGAGCAGATACAAAGGCAGCATCCCAGCCATCAACACACATCATTCACTAAGGTAGAAAAAGGTTAGAGCACATTTTTATGTGAGCATTAAAGAAACGGCCTCTGTTAAACATACAAATGCATAATGTTAGATAATAGCTTTTGGTAATACTGATGTATGCGAGTGTACATATACAGATGTGTCCATAGTGCATTAAGTGTTCTCTCACGATTATGGGCAGGCTCAATAAACTGTGACTAATAAATGAATTTGCTAAACATTCTAATGATCAAATTGGAAATATTTCCCAAAATACCTTGCTAGACAGGTGTTGTTTTCAAGTTATTTGTTTTAGATGTTTTCTGATTGGCTACATTCCAATACTTTAACATAAACATTTTCAAAATCTGAGAAAATATATGCTCATTTAATATTGAGCCAGAGGAATAAAAAAAATCAATAACATCATGCATATTCAAACTTTAGTTTACAAATGTCTATAATGTTTTATCCCTGAAAACATGCTTTAAGAACATAAAGACCTTAAAAAAATAACTGCAGACTAGAAAATTACCAAAAGCAAGTGTCTGTAGCACTGTCTTCTTTCAACAAGGTTTTCTCACAATTAAAGAATGTAATTAAATGTATTTGCTTAAAAAAGTATTTGTAAGAATAAGGAAACGTACATTTCAAGGATAAGAGAAAAGTTTAAATTGCTGCATTGAGTACCATTTCAGAAGCTATTAAATAACTATTTCACAAACGTTTGCAACTTGCCACCCCTGACCATGTGAAGCTCATGTTTAAATGCATGTGTTATGATCTTCCACTGAACTGAAAAGGTCTCCTTGCCTCACAACAAGTATCGTACTTTAATCTTATGGAAATAAGTGAAAAGGTAGTTAAGAAAAGCAAGCAAACTCCTGCTTTTGCATTTTAATGTCACCTGATCTGTTGAAATGAGCACTACATTTTACTCCCTTGTAACAATTTTTCTTTCACAAGGTGCATTGCTGTGCATGAGTCTTTTCATCCCAGTCTCCCAAAAGACTGCCCAGTCGTCAAAGAGAAGCCAAGTCAGCACTCAAAAGTTAATGACGTCACACTGGCAGCTATCTGACCAATCCCTGCTCTTCTGCCCCTGGCAGCTGAAACATCAATTTGTGTTTATCCCAAATAGGGAGGGGAGTGAGAGAAAAAAAATATATATCAGTGAGACAGTATACATCACTTAAATCACTGCAACCCTCTCCCATACAGTGGCCTATCTGCTGCCACCTTGCATCTTCCTCAACAGGGGACCAAAATAGTTCTAAATGCTCCAAGGGTTTGGACTTGACAGACTGCTCTGAGCCTGCCTCCTCCCCTCAGAACAGAAAAAAAGGAAAAAAAATCTTTAGAGCAAATCAACGCAACCTAGCTGGAAGCGTTCTGCATTAACCCCTAGAGGGGATAGAGAGAAGGGGGGGGTTGGATGTGTTAATACACAAGAACACTGCATCAAACCAATGTACTGCTCAGAACGGTATGCGTCAGCAGTACATTCACGTTTCAACTGAAGGACAAAAGGAGGAGAGAGAGCAGCCTGTCTTGGCTGCCTGCAACACCAACACATAAAGAAAAAGGAGACAGAAGGATAAACAAGGGGGGTTAAAAAATGTGGCTGTGGACTGGCTTTTCCCACGTCTCTCCTGTTTTTGCTTCTATTACAACTCTGGCTACCGCTGCAGTCCGCCGGCTAGAAAGACGTTAACTGCAACAAAAGGCTAACGCTACAACTCACTACCTCAAAACAAAAGGGGATACACCAGGAGCTACAGGAGGTAAACCTGAGCAGCTCTCCACCGGTTGTCTTGCACGGATCCTTTTCAAACCAAGGGCACACCACTGAAGAACGTGTTTTTCTGTTACAAGGGAGTGAGAGAGCACTCTCGCGCAAACCTCCTCAACATTGCTGCGCTCCCCCCATCCCCCTGACCCCCCCCCCCCCCCCTTTGGAGAAATTGACGGATTATTGCTAACTGTGCAGGAGGCAGGCTGCAGCTGCTGCATCTACTGGCTAGAGAGCTAAGCTAGTTAAAAAGAAAAAAATCTAATGACGGCGATGTGCAGCTTTTAGCCTTTACAATCCACCTAAACACGGCAAATCAAGTGGAAAAAGGCAGAGGGAAGCTAACAGCAAATTGAAGAGAGCTTTTCCAAAGAGGAGGAAAAACTAAGGACTAGTGAATTTTGTTTTCCTTCTTTCTTGGCTAAATGTCTAGTTCAGCAATGGAGCATCGCAGAAAGCACTCTACAGTACCCAGCGCTGGCTTCCAAGGACAATCACTGGGAGAGATGAAGGCATTACTCTTTGGAGCAGACTGGATGCATGCACCTGTTTAGTTTATTGGGCCTTACCTCTAAAAAAAAAAAAAACATCTTTTAATGCTGCTGTTTCTGGATTTACTAGGAGCCATTTTGCCAGATTGTTTTACTACACATTTTTACTTGTCTTTCAAAAAAAGGCAACAGTTCACGTGGGGAATATGAATTAAGCATTAGACGTACTTTATGACCGCAAAGGACTTCTCAAAACTCAAGAGGTAGGTGCTCAGTGTTCCCACCCCACTTTCCATCAATTCAATCCTTTCTCTGCCTTTTCTCTCTCATACTCTGTCTGAGAACAGCACCATCCTGCACTGTAGATGGAAAAAAGAACCAGAGTCTTGCTTAAACCGGGGTAGGGCCAGTTCTCCATTCCGTGCCAAATCCCAGACGATGTTGAATTATGAACGTGCCACATCATGAGTCTCTTGTGGCAGGTAACTGTGCACCGTACCTGGAATGCCGCCCTGCTTTTTGTAGTCTACCTCATGGTACGAACGTGGAGTCTGTGTGCAGCTTCTGCAGGACCCCAGAGCTGCCCTGTAGTCTGCTCTTGCAGTAACCAGTTCAGTAAAGTGGTCTGCACACGTCGCGGCCTCACAAGGGTCCCTGAAGGGATCCCCTCAAACACCCGGTACCTCAATCTGATGGAGAACAGCATTGAAATGATCCAGGCAGATACTTTCCGACATCTCCACCACCTGGAAGTGCTGCAGCTGGGGAGGAACTCAATCCGCCAGATAGAGGTCGGTGCTTTTAATGGTTTGACCAGTTTAAATACCTTGGAGCTGTTTGATAACAGGTTGACTGTAATTCCAAGCGGAGCGTTTGAGTACCTGTCAAAACTGCGGGAGTTATGGCTCAGGAATAACCCCATTGAAAGCATACCTTCTTACGCTTTCAATAGGGTGCCCTCTTTGATGCGCCTGGATTTGGGGGAGCTAAAAAAACTGGAGTATATTTCGGATGGTGCTTTTGAAGGATTATACAACTTGAAATACCTTAATCTTGGAATGTGTAACATAAGAGACATGCCAATCCTCACCCCATTGGTTGGGCTGGAGGAACTAGAAATTTCTGAGAACCATTTTCCAGAAATCAAACCTGGATCCTTCCAGGGACTGAAATCCCTGAAAAAACTATGGATTATGAACTCACAGATTAACCTGATCGAACGGAATGCTTTTGATGACCTCACAGCATTGGTTGAATTGAACCTAGCCCATAATAACCTGACCTCTTTGCCCCATGACCTTTTTGCACCTTTGAGGTACCTAGTGGAGTTACATCTGCATCACAACCCCTGGAATTGTGACTGTGACATAGTGTGGCTCTCATGGTGGCTGCGTGAATACATCCCCACCAACTCAACATGCTGCGGCCGCTGCCATTCTCCCCCCCACATGAGGGGGAAATATTTAGTGGAAGTTGACCAAAGCACTTTTCAGTGCTCAGCTCCTTTTATAGTGGACGCACCTAGGGATGTAAACATTTCAGCGGAACGCGTAGCTGAGCTCAAGTGCCGCACAGCCTCCATGTCATCTGTTAGGTGGTTACTTCCCAATGGAACAATACTAAGTCATGGGTCAAACCACCCGCGAATATCCGTTCTCAACGATGGAACTCTCAACTTCTCTCACGTGCTGCCAACAGACACTGGGATTTATACATGCATGGTCACCAATGTGGCGGGAAATTCCAACGCTTCGGCCTATCTCAACGTGAGCAATGCTGAGCTTAACACGTCCAACCTGAGTTATTTCACGACCGTCACCGTGGAGATTGTAGAGCCAACATCCGAGGAAATCACGAAGCCCAAGACGGTGACAGCATCTCCTTCAGTGTTCCAACCTGTATTTATATCGACTCCAACAGTTCTGCTGCAGAACACCAAGACACCAAAGCAGGTGTCAGTACCAACTTCAAACGGCACAGAAAAACCACTTACTAGCTTGGATGAGGTCATGAAGACCACCAAAATCATCATTGGCTGCTTTGTGGCGGTCACCCTACTAGCAGCAGTAATGTTGATAGTATTTTATAAACTGCGCAAGCGCCACCAGCAGAGGAGCACAGTCGCAGCTACTAGGACTATAGAGATTATACCAATTGATGAGGATGTACCTACAGCGTCAATGGGAACAAGTATACCAGAAGAAGGCGTTGCTATGCCCACAATCCGTGACCACATGAACTATAACTACAAACCAGCACATGGGGCCACCTGGACAGAGAACAGCATTGGCAACTCTCTTCATCATACCATGGCCATCACCGCTATCCCTGAGCCCTATATAATACAATCTCACACAAAGGAGAAGGTACAGGAGACACAGATTTAACATTCCCCTATCCTTTCCTCATTATAAAATGCAATAGAATGCACAAAAAAGACAGTAACTTTTTTGTACAGAGTGCAAAATTAAGACTGTTTTTCTTGTATATGCTTATATATAAAAATAAATCTACTATGGGCTGGTAAGAGAAGCAGATTATATTAAATAAATTAAAACTATTTTCTAACTTGTAACTTCTATTTAAAAAAAAAGAAAGCTGTTAAGATGCTATTGTGACTTTGAGAAATGAGGGTAAACCTGTTTAAAAGGGCATTCTGTAAATTTTTAGACGACGCTACATAGGATGCAGTAAATACCCATTTATACTGAGAAGTCTTTCTAAAAAGCCCAAAATCAATCTTTACAGGTTTATCTTGTAAAAGCACCAAGAATTTGTACTGTGCCAAATGTTATAAATGCAATAAAGGATTTTTGGAAGAAAAAAAAACATAGATATAACCCAATCTTTTCACAGTGTTATACGTAAAAAAGCCTAGAAACTGGCATGCTGTAGCTATCAGCCAAATGGTTTCAGACTGCACCATATTTCTGCAGCTATTATTTAACTCACTGCTTGCCAGTTGTTGAAATGGATTTATTTCCATGAATCTGGGGACAGGCTAAGACTCTGCATTCAGGGTGAAAGCCACTGTTTCAGTATTTCCACTGGGCTGAACAGAAAATGCTTAGATGAATGCCAAAATTAAATCCAGAGTTTTGTTTCTAGATAAGTCTTATTGTGTCACTTGCACTTTAAATGCAGACAACTGAAGAAGAGTTTTGTTTATGCCATGATAATTTTGAACACCCTCCATCTGAAAAAGCTGTAAGATGTTATATAATAAGGGGAAAGATACATCAAAGCTTGAATGAAAAAGTTCAAAATAATTTGACAGAATTATATTTTTATTGAAATAATTCGAATTTTTGGTTTTCTGTACTTTATTTGTGGTTATTTTTTATTTTAAAAGTGTGAGGATTAGTTAATGGATAGGTTTGAGTCTGTATTATACTTTGACATTTCTTATTCATTCAAACAATGTACCGTGAAGTACCTTTACTGACGACAAGATGAAATCATCTCACTAAATTAAAATCCTACCTATCATTCTAATCGGAGCTTAATCTTCAAATGGTCATGTAATTTCATTTGAAAATTGATGGAATTTAAGGCTTTGTCAATACTAACTAATATATATTTACCTTACATAAAAGTTTCAATTTTTAAATGGGTGCTTCGTGTGTAAACAGACAAAGATTGGTTTCTTCCATATAACACACTGAAACAGGATTATATAAAATCATTAGCATTTCCTTCTGGCACCAAATCAGTCTGCAACTGAACAGCTCAAATACTGACGGAAATCTGAAAATCGACACGTATTTTACCCTTTTTCATTAATTTTTAAGAATCCTTTTTATGATACAACATTCAGCAATTTCCATCTGAAGAAAATATTGTGTGGATAAATGGAAGGGAAAGATGTATATCTTCAATATAAAATGCTTTTTATAAAAGAAAGGAAAATAGTGATTAGAATCCTAAAACATCAAATTGCAATTAAAACTATCATATATAAAAACCCTTATAAAATTATGGCAGGGTCAAAATTTTTTTTTCTCTTTTTTGCTTTCATCAAAACTTGAGGAACACTTAGATATTTGTGCAACACAGAAAGTGTAAGCTAAATTAGAGACGACTTGAAAATGTCCTGATGCATTGCAATCAAAAGTCTCCACCCACTCCACATGAAAAGGGTATGACAGGAGACTAAGGTAGTCTATATGTCTGTCTTCAATGTATTTGAAATAAATGGCACAGTATTTTATTTCTGTTTCCTACAGGAACAAGTGTTCCTTTTAATTAAGTAAAACATTAAAAAAAACTATTCTAATAATAGCGACCAATCATTCATCCCAACAAATTAATCTGAGGTCTAAAACTGTATATGTTGTAAAACAGTAGAAAATAACCAATATCGTACATATAGCAAAATGTATTTAACAAATGATGGATATTTGCACTTGGTTTTTAATAACGATTGGTAAGATCCTTGCTGTCTGCACCTTAAGGGCTTGTACATTGTTTTCCTTATAAGATAAACTGTTCGGGAGCAGGTAGATTTAAAGACAGTCCGTGTTTCTAATGGGCAATAGTAATGGTTTCTGCAGCAATTTCACTGCAGAAGGGAAAGAGGGGAAGCCTTTAGATGCATGAAACGTCAAATTGCAAAGCTAAAAGACCATCAACCTTCCTATAAAAGCTAATAGGCATCAATTTGCAACTCGCATCAGTCAGTGCAGTGAAAAAGGCTCAATACGGTAACAGTAAAGATATTCTGTCTGAAACTCTTGCATGCAGTTCATTAACTATTAGAGAACTCTTTGAATCTGGAATTTAAATAGGCTGTGTATTGTGTTAACAGATAAAAGGGCAAAATCTCGTTGTTTTTTTTCCCCCCAAAATAGAGATTATGCAGAGTTTACGGCATGCCGTGAGCAAATTAGTTAACATTTAGTAAAAAACTTTTAATCAACAGAAAGTATAAATGGTAACACGTCAAAACTTTGTGTACACAAATGTCCTGGGCCACTTCATTAATTAATTATTATTAAGAATGTATAATACTGAAAAGGAATGCAAAAGCTTCAATATCTCAAAAGGTAGCAACATATAATGACAAGGTCACACATTTTAAAATGAAATTTCCATTTGCATCTCTTTTTTGGTTTTAATATAAAAGGAAATTTATTTTGGGAGAGTTTGTTTGCCTCTAGGGCCTTTAGAACATAAAGACTATTAGGAGTGACTGCCCATTTATGGCCTTGCCAGAACAATTATGTTAACCAGCAACCTGGTTCATTCACATTTGGGAACATATACATAAGTGCTCAATGGTGTATATATCATAGATATTACTTGCAGATTTGTCAAAGTCCTTTCTTGAATTTTAAACAGTAAACCCAAAATGAAGTCAGAAATCATACATTTGTGATCCCTGAAACAAATTTGTTTCATAAGATGTATTTTAAAGGCTGTGGCCCCATGATTTACTTACAGAGCTGGAAAAAAACGTACTGAAAGAAATGTTTAGAGACAATGTATTACTGATTTTCAAGATATACATGTTAAATCTGATGAACTTCTCAGAGACTTATCAGTAGCACTCTGACAGTTTTAAGGAGGGTGGGTGGCTAAGTGATTTGCTACCATTTTGCCAATTAATATACACTGAACAAATAAAGGCCCCACTCAATTTATGAGTCAGGCATTCAAGATTTCTATCAATTAATGAAATTTTGCAGTGCTTCTGCAACAGTTCTTCCTGCCGATAGCTAGATTTGTACAATTATGCCCACTGCACAAAAAGATCCACAGGCCTAACATAACTGGCTTTTTAAATAAGACCTCCATTTCACTTACATTTCATGTAAGTGTTATGTTAAAAAAAAAACAGTGGATACTTAAAGTTAAAAAAAAAACAAACACACAACTGACTTCAACACTTAACTGCAGCACTGGTTTTTATTTAACCTCAAGCTTATAGTTTAATATTTAAAATACAAGCTGTTTCATTGTTTATGTAAAAAACACAGGCTTCACATTTTCAAATGATGATTTATTCAATGTTTTCACAACATTTAGGGTTGTCTGCAAAAGAAAATGAAATGTGGAAAGAGACAACGGGCTGTTAGATTTTTGTTAGGCCAATCTAAAAGAAAATATGCACAATTAAAATAAAAGGTTTCAATGTCCAGATTAGTAAAATCCCTGCAAAGCACACAATATTATGTTGTATTACTGTTAATACATTTTAAATACAACAGATTTTAATTATAATTAAAAAAGCATATTTGCTTTAAATGTTTAAAAGATTTTTTTTAAACCTTGAAATCTGCAACAGTAATACAGTATGGCACATTTTGAAGGGACTATCTTCATCTAATAGCTTTTACGGAATAAGGTAAAAGCTTTAAAAAGGCATTGTAAGAAGGTGAATTTCTCTTCCCCTCTGTATTATCCCTACATTCCCAAATAAACTCAAAATATTTTGTCAAATCAGATTCTATGTAAAAAATTTGTCATTCAATCCATACACCATAAAATGTTTTCATGTTCTACTGCAGGCCTTAAATTACAAAAAGAGGATATTGTACATTTTAAACATGAAGCAAAGAATAATTACATATACATTTAAGAACTCATTTGTACACATTAATAATTACACTTAAGTACAACACCCCTTTACATTACAACACTGTAATATAACCAGTTTAGCTCAATAAACTCTAAACTGGGACATTAAAACATGATGCTCTAGAATTGACTTAAATTTGGAAATAGTCGTTGCCTTTGTTGTTGTTTTTAACTATAATGTCCTGAAACAAGTGTTTCTCGGTCTTTTAAATCTAAACCACATATCCTAGCATATTATATCACCCATTGACTAAGGTATAAGTTCTTTGGAAGTTAAAGCATATTTGCTGTTTGACTTAAAGAGCTTTAGTCCGTTCTCTTGAAAGTCTGCATAAATAGTTCAACAGTTTAAAGAGGATGGAAGAAGAAAGCAGAAACAAACATCACAAAATCCATTCTCTACTGTCTAAAGGAGGAAAGAGCATGTTAAGTAGTTGTTCACAATTATTTCTACAACTGCATATTTTCTGACTCAAATCACACTAATGCATTACAAATTCCTCAAAAAAATATAGCTCAAAGAAAAAGATCAATAAGTGAATAATTCAAATCAGAAGCCTTGTTTAAATATTATAAGCTCTTACATGCATCACGCTCTCCATTTAAATACTGCTAATTACTAGAGATGAGGGGCTTGTGATGAATGAATGTAACATCTCGTGTTAAGCACCCGATCTAATCAAGAGACATTAATACTGAACTTTTGACACAGATCACAAAATACACAAAGAAACACAAAGATTGCAACCTAAGGCTGCTACTGAATTATTTTCCTTGTATGCAAATGCAAACAAAGGAAATATGTGGATGTCAAAGTATTTTAATGTTTGAAGTACATGCAAAATTGTTATGGTAGAATTGCTAAAATGCACTTTTTCAAGAACAAATCGCTTTTATTTTGTCGATAACCCAGTAAGCCCTTCAAGTACCATTTTTCAATACACATTATGTGGTCAATTTTTCTCAAGCTGGAAAAAATTACCTTGACATGTATTAACACTGTTAAATCTAAAGGGGTAAGTTTAAGATATTTGTTAAAGCAAACTGGGACATATTCATTGGTGTCCAGAAATACTGTACATTGAAAAGCAACACCTTGGATAATTTATTATAAAATAGGTTGTCCCAAGTTCCAGCAAATAATTGGTTTTAGAACACTGATGCACAGCGCATCCTTCCCAATGACTGTTGTTTAAGATGACAGTGGTGATAGACCTGATCATTTAAGCAGCTTTTAAATATCTTCTTACACTTAGATTTTTAAGTTTTCCAATTGCATATAACAAAAATGAAATAAAATTTAAGTTACTACAAGATGTACATAGATTCCTTCTAAACTTAGTTCTCAGCAGCTTCTTTAACCATTAGTATTGTTTAGGGTTACAAATTAATTTCTATCGCTCACTGTATCACAAACGTTTCCCCAGGACCGTTGCTGATTTAATTTTTACTTAATACACCTGCAATTAGAACAGGTATCCTTTGTTTAAAGATATCTTTCTTTCTTTCACCCATTTTTAAAGATATTTTTTGTGAAAATTCTTCAGGCAAACCATGCGGTGCTCAAACCATAAACAAGTTTTTCAAGTAAATTTTAAAAGCAAAACTATGTACTTCAGTCAACATTTGTTTTAAACCGAATACAGTACAAACAGTATGGATGCTGTGCTATTGCTGAATTACTACAGTAAATACCACATGCAAATCGCAAACTTCTTAGGTTGTCGTCCATTGATACCACAATGACAGACAGTATTTCAACTTTAATATAATTGAAATGGATAGAACAGTAATAACAAGGGCTAAAAATAAATTCACTAAGATTTTATATTCACCCTGGAAGGCTAGTTTCCTCATTTTCAGGCCTAAAAGACAATATAATACTTTTTACTTAATAAATTAATTACAAATTTTTA